CCCTGGCCGGGAGCAGCAGCAGCGGCGGCAGCCCGGAGGCGCGCAGCAGCAGCAGCCCGAGCGACTCGGACGAAAGGGGGAGCCTGCAGAGCGTCTGTAGCGACGAGGGCTATTCCAGCTCCGGCGTGAAGAGGTTGAAGTCGCAGAGCAACCGCAAGCCTTCTCTCGGTCTATAAGAAGCACCTCCCGTAGCCGTTTCACCCGTCGCTCCTTCCCTCTTGGATCTCCTTAGGTAGAACACTGGACCGTCCCGCCATTCTCTTGCACGTAAAAAAAAAAAAAAAAGCCCCGCGTCTGTAGCGACGAGGGCTATTCCAGCTCCGGCGTGAAGAGGTTGAAGTCGCAGAGCAACCGCAAGCCTTCTCTCGGTCTATAAGAAGCACCTCCCGTAGCCGTTTCACCCGTCGCTCCTTCCCTCTTGGATCTCCTTAGGTAGAACACTGGACCGTCCCGCCATTCTCTTGCACGTAAAAAAAAAAAAAAAAGCCCCAAAATCTTAACGTACTGCCGACCGAAATGAAGTTGAGCTTCGCCCAAGTCCCAAAACGCCGCGCGGGGCTGCGGGTTGGCGAGCTGCTCCCCGGAGCGCGCCTCCGCTCGCCTTTGCCAGCTTCTCTTCCCGTCCGAAACTCCTCTCTGCGAGACCGTACGTTCCAGCCACGTTTTGATGCGCCCGAGAATATCGCGGAAACCCGCCCCCCCGGAAGCCCGCCGCTGGGTTTTTTTGGCTTGCTGTCGCCGCCCGGTCTTCCGGATCTACTCCGCATTTGCCCAGCGGCGTCAACGTACCCGAGAAGCGGCGGCAGGGCCCAAATGTAGAGGGGTTTTTGGGCGACGATCCGAAGGCGGAGCTGGACTCTTGGGTAGTCGAGGTCCGGGAGGGAGCGGAGGCAAGTCGGCGATCGGCGCGCGGAGCGTTTCGGCTACGTCGCGTCTTGGACGGCGGGGATTGCACCGCCAGCCGCCGGCGCGTTAGTCAGAGGGCTTCGTCTCCGCCGACTCTTAAATATCCAGGGGAGCAGCGCAGCCGTACGCACCCCGGCCCAGCCCTGCCGTCTTGCCGGAGCCGGAGCCTTACTCGCGTGGGGATGGCCGCTCGGGGAGGGGGCGGCGGCGGGGCTCGGCAGTTCATCGTTCCCCCCCCCTCTC